AATAAATGATGCGGTATGAGTTAATTAGAAGGTAATCAAGTGCTGTTTGCTGACCCTTCCTGAACACCGGTTTCTGTTATTGTGGATCGCCAAGGGCAGCACACCATCGGGCTAGTACATACATACATAATTGTGCGTGTAATTACAGCTATTCCTCAGTACATAAGCATTACTCTGGGGACGAAAATTTGGCCAACGGATTAATCTTACAGAGAGATAGTGTCTGCGCTCACTCGGGCAGGCAGGTGAACGCACAGGCATTGCCATATAACAGTCCTGATTTGAAGGAAATATTTACATACTGATAATGCCGTTGACACAGCAAATTCCCTCTTCTTTCCCCGCATTCACCTTTCCATCTAGATTCTGTTGCATCGTCAGCCGAATTCATAATATACGAAAAACTCATCAAAAAATTTGAACTACGCTGGCTAAAAAAGTCACATATTCATCAAAAACCGTCTCCTTCGTTCGCTCACTCCCATGAGATATCAACTGAATTATGTGGTCAAATCACAGTTTATGGACCAGGCCATGGTAACTGTTATAGCAATTTGCTGAGGCCTTAGCTCCTCTGAACTCCCGAAATTGTCCAAAACATGCTGAGTTGAACGGAAAAATAACTGGCAGTGCGTGCAGTGAATGCACTGGCAATAGATATCGGTATGACAGTTATGTGCTCATATGTGCAGTGCAAAACCAAAAATTTGTTTGTGAAAAAAACCCATGCTTTCGTGAAAAATAATAAAAACCATCACTATTATGATGATTGTAGTTGCTATCAGTAACTGCTGAATTTGTTAACATTGTCATTATTAACATTTCAGCTATCGTATCTTTTTCCCCGCCATCGTTAGTGTTATGTCTTGCGACAATATCATCGTTACCGTTATCGTAATCAGCCCTATCATACAGTCACTGCCAACATCATTGTATTTACTATAGTCCTCGTCACCAGTATTGCTTTTACCAGATATTAATATTGCATTTATTATAATATTACTGTTCTGTGATGCTGATGCTGGTGGGATTATCGTTAACAAATCGTCAGCACACAGTGACTGCATACGTCAATACTGCCATCAACGCCATTACTGATAAAGTATTGTTACTGTTATGACCAATATAACCATGCCGTTACTGATATCTTTGTATGTAGTGATTATCGCAGTATTTTTTTGCCTACATTATCACAATAAACTATGATATCAATAACATAATATTTTTGCCGCCACCATTACAACTGTCAGTTAATAACACTTATTACTGCTGTTCTGCTGCTGTTTCTGAGGTCCACTTTAACATGTTTTTTTTAATGATTTCAA